AGCTTTTCAAGCTTTTGTGTCAACTCTTGATAGTGTGCAGATTCCTAATTCTATTTATGAGGCTCTCAAGGATTCAGAATGGAGAAAAGCAGTCCGTGAAGAACTTAGTGCGTTGGAGAAGAATGGGACATGGATAATAACTGATCTTCCGTGTGAAAAGAAACCAGTCGGATGCAAGTGGATATTCACAGTCAAACATAATGCGGATGGAAGCATTGAAAGACTAAAAGCCCGACTAGTTGCAAAGGGATTTACTCAATCCTATGGGATAGACTATCAAGAGACGTTTGCGCCAGTGGCCAAGTTGAACACCATCAGAGTCCTTCTCTCACTTGCTGCGAATCTAGATTGGCCGATGCACCAACTAGATGTTAAGAATGCATTTTTGAATGGTGACTTGGAAGAAGAAGTTTACATGCAGATACCTCCAGGACTGGAAACTACCGTCAGCAACAACAAGGTATGCAAGCTCAAGAAGTCACTGTATGGACTCAAGCAGTCTCCTCGAGCTTGGTTTGACAGGTTTGCAAAGTCAGTAATTAGATATGGATACACTCAGTGTCAAGCAGATCACACACTGTTTGTAAAGTTCTCTACCGAAAAAAAGATAGCAGTTCTTATTGTCTATGTGGATGATATCATCCTAACAGGAGACCATGAGGAGGAACTGGTAAGATTAAAAGAGTTTCTAGCTAAGGAGTTTGAAATCAAAGACCTAGGTAACCTTAAATACTTCCTTGGAATGGAAGTGGCCCGATCCAAACAAGGAATATTTATCTCTCAACGCAAATATGTCCTAGACCTACTGAAGGAGACAGGAATGCTTGGCTGTAAACCTACAACCACACCAATGGACTCGGCAAAGAAGCTAGGGACTGGGAACGACACTACACCTGTTGACAGGGGGAGATATCAGAGACTTGTAGGACGACTCATCTATCTGTCACACACGAGACCTGATATTGCTTTTCCAGTAAGTGTGGTAAGCCAATTCATGCATAATCCTATGGAGGAGCACATGGAAGCAGTGTACAGAATTCTAAGATACCTCAAGATGACTCCAGGACAAGGGATACTATATAAGAAATCAGAGAATAGAGATATTCAAGTCTTCACAGATGCAGATTGGGCAGGAGATGTCAGTGATAGAAGATCAACCACCGGCTACTGTTGCTATGTTTGGGGAAATCTAGTAACTTGGAGGAGCAAGAAACAGCCTGTCGTATCAAGGAGCAGTGCAGAAGCCGAATTTAGAGCACTAGCACTGGGTATTTGTGAAGGTATGTGGATACGTAGACTACTTGGTGAGATGGGGGTACTAAATGAGAAGCCTATCAGATTACTTTGTGATAACCAAGCAGCTATACGGATTGCAAAGAATCCAGTACATCATGACAGAACGAAGCATATCAAGATTGATCGACATTTCATTGCAGAGAAAATAGAAAAGTCCATTGTGCAGCCGGCTTACATCCCTACTCAATCTCAAGTGGCAGACATCCTCACTAAGGCCCTACCAAGGACAAGTTTTGAGAAACTGAGTCACAAGCTGTGTTTGTTCAACATATACAAATCAGCTTGAGGGGGAGTGTTGAAATTCAAAATTCAAATTAGGAATTATCCTCAATATAGTTCGGATTGATATTAGGATTAGGACCACGATATCATCCTGTATTGTATTTTTCCCTTCGGTTTCATCGTTGATAATATCGTTGTTAAGAGTAAGAACATTAGAAGACTTAGCATTGTACTTCCAGAATCCACCTCGGAGAAAACCAACATCAATCTCAAGTCTGGAATACAGGGGCAGTACAGATATCCTTGAGAGTAATTTTCTGGAAACAAATATGTCAAACATAAATTAAGCAAATGTAGATAAAGAAGGAAAAATAAACATATATATTCAAACAAGGAAAAAGAAGTACCTCTGAGAAATTGAAGAAGCTTTCATTCACATCACATGTTAATATGCACTGAATGACTTTGGCACAAACTAGAACTACAGAATTATGATTGTCATCAAGACATATCCTACGAAACAATGAAATATTAGTTAAAATGCAAAAAAAAAATAATAATAATAATAATAATAATAATAAACTAAAATAAAATAAAAATTAATGTATTTTTTTTTTTTTTTGAGAAAAAATCTATAGGAAATGTTAAAGAGCCCGATAGGTACTTTGCTTACAAATGTAATTACAATTTATATCCCTAAAAATCATTGGATAAAGTTGCTGTTCTTTATGATCCACAATTTGATAAAAATTCCAGCAAAATGCGCATGATTAACTACTTTATCAGAAAACCTTACATCCAGTTCGGCTAAAATTGCAGGACCTATGGCTCAAGCAAGTCTCAAGGGATAAGCTATTAAGGGAGATGACCAAGTCATGGGAGGATATAAACAAATTAGCAGTGGAGACATTAAGAAGTTATTCACCTAAGCGATAAAACAAGCTCAGGTTCAGGGCCAAGTGCATAAGCCCAAATAGCCTCCCAATCGGTAAATTTGTTATCTTTATCATCATTTCCAATGGAACACCCAACTTGACCTTGGAAAATATTGTGGACTGCCTTATCAAGAATAGCTAAAAGTATATGCAATGCAAGAGCACGTTGTCCTGGAATCTGAAACCAAAGGATAGACAGTCAAAAGTAAATAAGCAAAAGGATGATAACTAAAACCGGTCATAAAAGACTGTGAACAACAAACCGATCTACAAAAATCTTACAAAATGTAAGTCTAACTTCAGGAAAATCTTATAAAAACCAACCAATGCTACAAAATTAGAGCAATCAAGAACTAAAATGTAAACTGACCACACTTCGAGTTAGTGCCACTGCTTCTTTGATTGTGTAACCTGCTGCACCAGGATCTCCCTCAGTCCGCAGGAAGTCGCGTTCCGCAACACGATGAACGAAATATATGACGAGAAGAGATACTCAAAACCGTGTTAAATGAAACAGACTGAATAGTGTTGGTTTCAGCGCAAAACCGTGGATAAATCAGAGATTACTCTGAACTTTCTTACTAAGCAAGACTCGGTTATCAAAGCTTCAGCATTATCTTGGAAATCCCATAACATTACTTATACGGAAATCAATTATAAAAAATACATTTTACTGGAAGTCTGAAAGTACCACTCTAAACCCTAATGATAATCCAGATATAAATCCTTTAATAACAATCCAATACCGGAATGTGATCAATACCAACGATATAAACAAACTAACTAATTCAGGCTTACCGGTGTCTGCTACTTGGACAAGATCATTCTCAACAATAGTCCCGTCCAAGGAAAATCTTAGTCCTCTAACACCCTCGACTCTCTCGCTCCAAGTACTCCACAAACTGCCACTAGCTGGGCTTGGATTCCGTGCCTCACCATTGTCAAGTCCACTCTTTATTTCCTTTGAGGTCATTTTTGTCTCCGTATGAGTCACCTTACTCTTAGAGACAGACAAATCTTTCATGTCCTTTACATTCTCATTCCGTCCATTATCGCCTTCGGCATTGGCGATAACATCCGAGCCAGGGATTTTTGCTTCTCCAATTTTTCTTGACCCCTCTTCTTAAGTAGCCTCAGCAATGCAGGGTCCATCTTCTCCATTATCTCAGCTTGTGCCTCTGCAATCTCCTCAGCCAACATTCCCTGTAATCGCGCTCGATTTTCAGCGTCAATCTCACTCTCAAGCGACATGGTTTCTTGCTTGTGACCTGAATCAGTTCCGGGGGAAACCACAGTTGAAGCTGAATAGTTTGTCTCCCTTTTCTTTAATATCTCCAACAAATGGTCATTATTTGAGTAATCTAACTCCATCTTTGCAAAAGAACTAGCCTCACTATCTTCACTCTCACTCACGGTTTCAATTGGTTGTCTATCTTTCTCTCGTTTTTCAGTTTTTGCTGAGGAGCGTATCACATTTCCTTCCAATTTCTCAGCCATGGCTGACTTCTCACCAGCTACAAGCTCTCTCCAGTTGCTAAAATCCACGCCTTTCTTCTTCCTCCTCTCTACAGGATTAGCAAAAGGCGCTATTGGATCAACGTCCATGAAAGCTCTATCATCTTCGTCACTTAACCCACCATCCTCATCACGATCATCACCATAACCAGCACTCGCTTTACTACCAACTGGAGCCCAATGCTATAAAATCGAAACATACATATCAGTCGGAGAGAACTCAATATCCTCCAAAAAAAATCCAATTTTCTTCACTTTCTCGGGAACCAAACAAGGTCAAATTCAATGGTAATCAAATCAACCGAGGGCCCCGAAGAAGAGGGAGGGGCTTACCGGGCCGTGAGAGCGATGGCGAGCGACGGGGAAAGGGAGAACGGTGGGATTAGGAGGTAAGTAGGGTTTGGTTGGTGGTTCATCTGAAATTCCTTTCTCCACAATACGACCGACCAAGTGGGAGGCTTCGTCTTCGCTTATCTGGAGGCCACTGGTTCCGAAGTTCATCTTCGTCTTCTGTGGCGAAGAAGTGTTAGGGTTTCGTTGAGCGGTTTGCTTCTTCTTCTTCTTCTCCATGTTCGCGGTGGTGGCGAGGAGAGACTTCTACTCTGCAACTTCGCCAAGTGTGGGTTGAACGTCGTCTCTAGAAGGGAAAATTTATGGTGGGGGAAAGAAATGCTTGAATGGCGCGGCTCGGATTTTTGTAGAGGGGCAAAAACGACATGTAAGATTAGAAACGACATGTAAGATTAGAAACGACATGTAAGATTAGAAACGACAAAGATGGGAAACGACAATTAAAATTAAAGAAATAATTAGGATTATTTTTAAAAATACGCTCAAAGTATGAGCCTTGTTTCAATATGCTTCTAATTTTTCAAAATAGTTCAAAATATCTCCTAATTTATAAAAAATACTAGTTTGTACCCACGCGTTGCTGCGGAAAAATATTTTATTGTATTGGAAGTCTGATGCTTTTTTTAATGCAATATTAGTTTATATATATGTATATTTATGTAAAATGGTGAGAAAAAAGTATGATATTAGTGTGTATATACATATACATATATAGACATATGTATATTACATGCTTACAAAAAACTTTGTATAGGATATTACATGTTGAGAGAAAAGTACGGTATTAGTGTGTATATACATATATATATATATATATATTATATGCCTACCAAAAACTTTTTGTAAGATGTTATATTGCGTGTTTTCCTTTTTTTTTTTTGTGCTTCTTCAAAACTGCAAAATAAAAAAATTTTAAAAAAAAAAATTAGTGCTAATTTTTAGAAGATTTAAATAATTTTAATCATATAAAGTATTTATTCAAAGATTTAGAGATAATGATATTACTTGATTCTTGTTCTTTTTCTGGATTGCTCTACTGATCTTGATTCGGAGCTAGTATCATAATAGAAGATTAAGATGCATATTATAAATGTTAAAGTATAATATTTAATAATAATTGATATTAACTTGTAAATATGCTATACCTGGTTGCTAGTTTCTTTGGGTCTAGTGTTTTTGGGTGTATTACTGTGGTGGTCGGCATCTGTGGCAGTGGCAATGTTGGTTCTATTGCTGTGGTAGTCGGTATCTATGGCGGTGGCAGTGCAGATTAAGTATCTTCAAATATTTTAGAAACGACTATAGATATTTGTGTCCTTCTTTGTTGGAAATAGATTTGGAAGATTTTTGTTTGTCCTTTTAATTGGTCAATTGCTGGTGGAATTATATATGGATCAATAAAACCTTCATCAATTGTTAGTGCAGAATAGGGCTTCTTAATCAATGCTTGCGCTGCTCATCCAAATATGATGATTTTCACATTCCAGTAGTATCTTAGATTTCTGCATTTAATCTGTACTTGTACATATGTAATAATCATTTATTAATATAATTATTTATTTATTGTAATTAATAATGGTATATTAATTTTAGTAATAATTTATTAGTATTTTTTGTTACCATAGGGACGGTGTTGTGTTTAGATGACTGTGACTGTCACACCACCAACCATGATTTGTTTGCTTTAGTTGTCGATAATATCTGGGACAGGAGTTATAATACCATTCTTGATCTGTTGTGAATCTAGTTATCGCAGCCTTTACTGTGAATTTAGTGCCCTAGACGGATAAAGAGGCATTATTAGTTTGAGTAATTTGATTAACAAAAGAATATAAAAATAAAGTAATACTAACTTGATTGTTTTCTGCATCTAATGTGTTTAGCTCATTGAGTGTTCTTCTATTTTCTCTTTTTTGTTCTTCGATCACCTGTGTAGATGTTGTTGATGCTGGTAGGAATTCGATTTGCTGACTTTGGTGAGAAAATCTGTTTAGAGAAAAGCAAAAGCATTTATATGATTGAATAACATGAATTTTTAGATATGGAGAAGGATAGTATCTTTTTTTTTCTAAAACATATTCCGTATTAGTTTTATTACCTTGTCTTCAACGTTATTGTCTCTAGTATGTGGATTAATATAAAACGTTGTTGCTACAGGACTTGATACATATGGATTGCCTGAGATATTGATATTTAATTAGTTAGTATTTTTCTATATGGATTCTGTTTATGTTTGTAATTGTTGTAATTTAGTTTTTAAAACATACCTAGATATTGTTTGACGGACATTGTAGCAAAGACTGCTACTGTCGGTGGTCCAATAGATCTTATTATGTTTTCATCAAATTGATCTGCTTTGTGCCCCCATAAGGTAACTCATAGTTGTTCGTTCCTGTTAAAGGAATAAGATAGCAAAGATATCTTAGAATCGTAATGTTTAGTAATAAAGGAGTGATAAAAGGTGTTTGAAATATATTTACCTTATGTTTTGTATGACAATAGTGCGTCGCGATGTTGATCTACTACCAATGTTTGCTTGTTCAATTGCTTGGACACTTGTAATGACTCCAATAACATCTTATATAAAATGCATAAAACTTGTTATCAATGTGTATTGAGTGATTAATAATAATTTTTTATCAATTAGGGTAAATTATTTGTGTTACCACTTAAAATTTCAATGGTGTTAACTCTTTGTTGTAGCTAATCAAATTCAATGAAATAGAACTTGTGGAATGGGATTGGCGGTGGTTCGTCTGTAATTAGAGTGAAAGAAGTTGCTCGTGCAAACTGGAGCATTACAATGTGTGGCACGATTTTGTATGTTGGCTTGTTCTGAGTAACAAAGAAATTGCTGATGTCATATATATTACCAAGTTGAATTTTTTCTGAAATGATATCTGAATCTTTTGCTCGGATCGATCCTTGAATCGCTTCATGTTGAATGGTTAAAATGTAAGAAAGTTAGTCATTGTGTAATGTTAAATATTGAATCAAATATTATATAATATAGTTTTTATAAAAATTATTACCTCTCTTCATCAACTAAGATACAATCCAAACTTATTAAACGTCCGGTGGTGAAGTCATTATTTGTCCATAATATGGAAATTCTGACTCTGATAGTGCTGTAGACTTCATTTGGTCGTAGTGCTCGAATAGGAGTTGTCATTTTTCCTAATTGTTAGAAATAGTAAGTGGTTATTTATTACATGACTAAACAATTTTATTCAACATACATGTAGATTATTGGTACTAAGGTATTTTAATCATATAAATAAAATGTAATTATGTGTGTTATCATACAGTAGTTTATGTTATTGTTTAATATTTTGCACAATTTCTTTGTACATTACATTTTTAATGTGATTTTGATATTTATTGATTGAATCATGTATTAGTATATGTAATGTAACGCCCTTTAGAATTAAACATGTTTAATTATGCTAAAATGTGGATTATTAGTGTGTCTAATTTGATTTTCATAATTAATTAAGGGACTTTAAGTCATTTTCAATATTTATAATTACACCCCAAAGATTTTTGGAAAACACACTTAAATTTAATACATTTTCCTTTTTTTCATTTTTCTTTTTTCTTTTTCCTTTTCTTTTCTTTTTCTTTTTCTTTTTTTTTCTTTTCTTTTCCCCCCATTTCCTTCCCGTGCGCCCAGCCCCCCCTCTCTCTCTTTCTTTCCTTTTCTTTTTTTTCTTCTTCTTCTTCTCTGGTTCTCCCACGCACAACCTCTCTCTCTCTCTCTCTTTCTCCATTTTCTTCCACCGCCGGCCACCTCTCTCTCCGGGCTTCCTCCCGCCGGCGTCCTCTCTCTCCCTTGCTCTCTCTTTCCGGGTTTCTCTCTCCCTCTCTCTCTCTCTCGGCAGTTTGGCCGAAAATCTCAGAAAAAAAAACGAAAAACAGAAAAATTGAGGGAGACGAAGCTCGAGCAACTGATTTGAGGTAAAACCCTTTGAAACCCACTCTTTGATTCGGATTTTAAGCTTGAGAAAGTTTGATTTTGGTTAGATTTGAATAATTTTGAGTTAGGGTTCGAGTTTGAACAGTTATTGTTGGAATTGAATGGAATTTGGGGATTTTTAGTTAT